ATTCCAACAGGAATATGCTTGAGTGTTTTAAAAATTGGGCATTCAAGTCAATTTGATGTTGTGGCTCATGATGTAATGTGAAAAAAATGTAAATCCTTAAATGTTTCATTATTTTTTTACTGCACTGAAGTGCCATCAATAACAGCAGTGATTGTTCTTTGGGGTACAAGTCATTCTGTAGCGCTGCTCTGTCCTACTTTCATTCTACAGGGTTTACATTTTTTTGGATGAATGCAAAGTATATTTTAGTCATTGCATGATGTCTCTTATTTCATTATTTGACTCTTTGTTGCAAGACGAAAGCTTTCACAGTCTGTAACACAAATAAGGTTATTTGGGTTGTTTAGATAAGAATAGTGTTTGTTGTTTTTTTGCATTTCTGTGTAGTTTGTGTCTGTCTCTGCGGGCTGCTGTGGAATGTAGGTCAGGTGGACAGGAGACTGTAAGTTGCCTGCTGTTGTGTTTGTGTGTTCCCTGTCTTGCACAAAAGGCTTGCCTGGATAGATCCTGGGTTGCTATGACCCTGAGTAAAACTGAATGATTATAGATAATGGGCAAATAGAATGAATGATGGATGAATAAAGTCAAGGAGCTAGATGGAACGTTCCGCTCTTTAAAACACAGGGAAGCACAGGCATTCAGATTCATCATTCTCATATTTTAGTAAATCCTGTGTCTATGTTCTTTTGAAACACATCCTTTATCATTTTTGCTCAAATACCGAATTTATTTACTTTTTGTGTAAACTACCAGTTGAAATATGTATAGCTATACTCATCAAATGCATTTTTCTGACTACATAACTGTTCTGACAGGGAAAATAATCCATTTGCCACATGTGTAAACACACACAGCAACAACTTGGCTATATATATATTCACATTTTCTGAGTCTCCCTTGCAAACTATTGAGAACAGTCCTAACACATTATCTGTTTCATCCATTAGGAGTAGGATGCAATCAGCCAACACAAAGAAGTGTGCTCAAACAGTCTCAGTAGGTTGGAACAGCCTGTGTTTACATTTGCTGTCTGCCACTGCCTGTTTTTCTTCCTCCAATTAGTGTCCCTCTATCACGCTGTTCCCTGCTTTGCTGAATGATCTGAACAAATATTTTTGGTACTTTTACCACTGAAAAGAACCGCAGCAGAAACGATTTATTCCTTATGTAGCTTTCTCCTCTCTCTCATCTACTCACTATCATGTTGAATGGATGTAGAGCCATAGTTGGCATGATTTGACCAAAAGGGGGTGCAGTTTGACCACCTCCCCTCCTCAGCGACTCCTCAAACTCCTCTTCATTTACCTAAATGTTCTTTCACACATGGCGTTGGGAGACACACACACACACACACACACACACACAGCAAGCAGACTATTTAAGCTACATGGTCAGAATAATTAATGCAGGAAATTATCACAGGCACAGGAATGATTCATTTCAAGCTGTGACAAACTGACATGACTGATTGTTTTTAGCGGGTCGCCAGGCTTTTAATACTCGAGGCCATTCAGGGATAGCATCCATCACAGTGACCCTCAGTCCAGGTGTGTGTAGTGTGTGTGTGTGTGTGTGTGTGTGTGTGTGTGTGTGTGTGTGTGTGTGTGTTCCTATCTGTTTCTGTGTGTGTGCGTGCATGCAAGCTTTGTGAGATTATGTGTATGTAGTATGTGTACATGGAACAGTGTCTTTAAGCATATGTTTACTAATCTATCAACTTTCTTACTGTAGAACTACTTTCCCCACCTCTGTGAGATAATACGCAGCGAAGCAGACCCACCCTAAACCTTTACAACCACCCTGATGTAACTCCCGAGGGTCATACGCTTACACTTGTATTTCATCATATGTACCTCCTGTTACCTAGACATGGAAGGCGTTCAATCAAAATCTCTTTCTTTTTGCTGTCGGTCTTTCCCTCAGTCTCTCTCTCTATGTAACACAATGTGATAGTAATTAGTCTTTATATTTTGTGTTTCCATGCAGCAGACGATTTCTGCCACAGTTTATGGTAAACAGGATTCTCTCATGTAGCAAAACAGTTCAGGATAAATTGGGAAAAGGGGGGGGGCGGGATCATCAAAGTCATTACCAATACAATAAGAAATTCAACTGTGTGTCTTACACATGGTGTTTTTGCATTCCAGACGACACCTGGCATTAATCATGTTTTTAATCAAATTTTCAGTTTTTAATCTTCAAATTTGATACCAATAGATTCCATGGCACATGTTTGTCTGTGTGTGTATGTGTATTTGTGTATGGCATATAAGCAACAGATTAGTGAGCTGGAGGACTCTCTTTGGATGAGAGTACTCATTTTAAAGTTGTACATCAATAAGCGTTTTCTGAGGTCTACATGTAACTATGAAGGGGCTTTAAACAGGGGGGGAAGACTCAATAAATTCTTGCAATAAAAGATGCATTTTACCCAGAAATCAAGAGTCTCTTTGTTATAACCACTGTGTTGCAGATGCCATCTGCCCGATTCACCGCACTCTGTCAGTGTGTGACGGGACACAGCTCGTCTGTGTTGACCCCCTGGGGATTCAGACAAGTGGCCCAGAGACGCTGGCTCTGCTCTGCAGGAGGTCGTCGCCATGGAGACGTGGGGTCAGCTAGACTCTGCTCATCAGTGTTCAGGTCAGTTAATTGTGCACCGGATGCTAATGATCTGTAATAGCTCTGTCCTTGGCAAAGGAGAAACTCAAACAAACAAAATGGTGTTTTGTGCTCGATATAGATCTCTCTAGTGTGCTGCTCTTCAGGGCTTTCATCCCTGTACAGCATTGGAGGGCCAAGTCAGCCTGTCCTTCCTCTGTGGGTGCTCTTCTGTGACAACCTTGTACAATAGTTCCACTACACATACACACACACACACACACACACACACATATTTCCTCGTCCCCACACCATCTCCTGTTCACTCATGTAATCTCTACACGGTTTGTGGTTCTTTTTCTTTCTGTCTTTCTACCCAATCCTCTTTCATATTACTTTTTTCATTCTACAACTTTCGCTTTGCCAGACTGAAAGCTGGGATAAGAATGCAACCTGCTCAGGTCAATACAGTAAAAACTCATCTGGCCATGTCTCAGACTGATTTTACTACCCTCTGCTATCGATCCTCCCATTCCCATCCTCCTCTCTGCCTCCCACGCAGAGATGACCTGCCCCCGATGACTTTAGATTTTGGCAGCCATCTTGAGTTTTAGCAGTGGCAGTAGACCCCACCAACACCTCCCTCAGTGCCCACACCTCCCCACATGTTCCCCACATTCCTGCTTTCGCCGTCTATCTAAGGTCAGAATGTGAAATGCGCTGTATACAGCAAACCAAATTGTTGCTTCGAGCAGACGGGTGTATAAGCAGGTGTCTCAGGGCAGCCCTAGAGCATCTTTGGACAGTGATGGGCTACTACAGGCTAGAGGAAGAACAGCAAGTCTTGAAAGAAGCAGGGCTTATTTATAGATGTATAGATAAATGCACAAATGGATAGTGTATAGTTTGTGGCTTGAGTTGATTGTGTATCTGTAGGGCTGTGTCTTGTGTTTGCAGGTTGAAAGTGGAGCCATTGATCAAATGGCCTTGCACTACTCCACTCCCAAGGAATTAAGCACCAACCTGAAATGCCTGATAAAAACAAAAACACCAATTTTTACACATTAAACCGAAGCATCTGAGGTTCACAATAAACCAACATCAACCAGCAATCTCACCCATATGCATTGCTTGTCTTCCTATTGCTCTGATGTGTCTATCAGCTTCATGTACCTTATCAAACAGAAAACCTTGGGAGTAAGGCAGCACCCTGAGACGTTGCACTGCAGCACCACCTACAGCTTCACATTTTATAGTCAGTGTTGAATGTATCGCCACACTATGATCACAACACCAATAACACACATTACACATATCCCTTTATGATGCATTGCTATGTAAGATTTCACTGTATTAATAAAGTGTACTCTTACTCTACTGTATATTTCCTTTCCTGCAGGTGTGTACAGCTGTCACGTCCACTCTCAGGAGGGGTCTTTTTTCCAGCTGCTCTCCACTGAGCCTCTCGTTTCTCTTACTAAGCCTCTTTGTGGGGTCAGTCCCCTCCCTGTGACAGCCGGTCCAGGTGTCCCAGACCGCTGCCCTACCTGTCGGTGTTCTACTGTCAGCCCTGTCCCTAACTGGCCCTCAGCCTGGGTTTGAGCTTACTACACCAAGGGATCACTTTCATTCCTCAAGGTGTGTGTCACACAAGCAGCAACAAAAATACACATACAGTTTGTTCTACAGCCTTTTAAAACTCTTCAATGAGATATGTGCATCTACAGCCTTGACATTAATTAATTCTTCTTACAGATAAAACAAGCTGTTGGGTGTTTAATCTTAATACTCAATTTAGTTTTGACGTATTATTTCCTGCTGTCTGAGCCCTGAGAGCTCCTCAATAGCACTGCCTTTCACCAGCTCACAGTCCTAAACCCATCCTTCAATAGATGAAATCCGTTTGGGTAATAGATTGGATAAGGATACCTTGATGCTGGGTTTCTGCAGGGTGAACCAATTTGAATTTAAGAAAGTTTTAAATACCACATAGAATACAATTGACCTGTTTCACAGTCATACAGGCTAATGCTGAAGTATTTAAGTATAATGGAAAACCATGTGGCCTAGAATTATTTATTATGTCATTTTTCAGTATACCCAGCAGTTAAAATCAATAATTCCTAAGGATAATGAAATTGGTGGGACCTGGCTCCAGATAAGCAGTACAAATGGATGGATTTATTACCCACTTAAAATGTATTCTAGTTTTTGCAAAACTCTTCCATGGTCCAAGAAAATATTTTATAACTTCTAAGGCCTTTGTGTTGACAAAACTAAATTCAAGCTGTTAAAAGATCTCCTGCTGTGAAAATATACAAGAGGTGTATATATTTGTGTTACCATTGATCCATAAAAACACTTGTACAAGTCACTCAGTAACCAGTAGGGACATCGAATCATATTCTTCATCATTTTATTTGGAAGCCGTGTACAAGCAAGACATAACAAAAATTAAATTAATTTCTTTATTCAGTGTACAACTCAGTCACACGAACAAGCCTAAACTGTTATAACTGAGTGAACTGGAGGACACAAATGATTTTAGCAGAATTATCTCAACTTCACAAGAATTCATCCTACATTATCATTTTCACAGGAAGCTTGCAAGCACATTTAAATTCACAATCATATTTAGTGTCACATCACTGTTCTGTGTTTTACAACCATCACCAGCAGAGCCAGCAATGACTTCCCTGAAGCAAATCCACGATCAGGCTGTGTGGGCCCTGGACCAAAGCCAATGGCTTCGGAGCAGACACCGATGACATCACGGTCCACCTTTAAATACAACGCTGAACTGTGGCATTGACTTGGAATATACAGGTATTGAGTGGATATTTTACCAGCTCTACCACAAACCAATAAACAGTCAATTATGCCACGAGTAGCTTTAATATAGTAAAACTGCAGTAATGGACAGTTTTTTTTTTAAGATGCAATTTGCAACTTCAGTCAGTGTATCGCCTTTCCTAGAACTGGTCCAGTGTTTTAAAAGCAAACTTACATAAATCTAAGTGCTAAGAAACTGGTTGAAAATATCACCACGGCTCATCATACACCCCCACCTTCTTGTAAATGTTTGTGTTTAATCATTGAAGGTGTAATGCAAACAGATGCAAATCACGCCACACAAAAACTGTTGAGGCCACACATCTGTACACGTGGAGGAAAAGACTGCCGGAGTCCTGAAATGCCCTGATCTGTACCGGTACATATTAAAGGAGTCCTGATATTTACAGGACCCCTTCGATGAACCTTAACGAGGTACAAAGAAGAAAACTGGATGACGAACATGCAAGATTATTTTACCAAAAAAAACCCTTAAATTTAACAAGAGGGATGAATAATTGGATATGTGGCGTCTCAGAAATGCCAAGCATTTCTCTGTGCATATTATAGAGACTTCTTAGATTACATGATCTGTATTTCCGCTCTCCTTTCCTCATTGAGGCATCAGCTCCATGGCAGTGTTACTTCATGAACTCCAGCTCAGTTCATCCACAACTGTGTTCAACCACGCCTGGTCAAACTAGTGCTGTTTCCTCCTGAATGAACATCCTGAGGAAAGACGGAGAAAAACTGAGGACCGTAAAAAATATAAGCAATACAAAAAACTGCATGTTATGTTACGGTTGTGTTGGATTTGTGGTGCTGATGATTGTAACTAATATTATGTCTTCCCTGTTACATCAATGAGAATAGACAACATTAAATACCTCTCAGAACAATGCAACACAGTTGGGGCAGCAACTAACAATTATCTGCATTACTGATGAGTAAAATAATCAGGATAGAGTATAAACGGTCAGATGAGAGAGAACTGAGACTCATTTCAAAGACTGAATCACCTCCAAAAACTGCACCATAGTAACTCAAAGCAGCGTGCACAGAGAAGCGCTTGTTACCACGGCAGCAGAGCACAGGACTGAGTGGGTGGGACAGTCAGTGAAAACAAACCTCGACCTTAAACTCAACCAATTCACCAACACCCTGTACACACTATCATCATTTCTTTAGTGTACTCTGAATGGTGAAGGAATTCTGATCCGCCTTTTTAATCAAAAAACAAAGTATTCGCTGCTTGGATTTCTTGCTGAAAGAAGCCTAATCAAACGCCTGAATGAAAAGGCATTGTGCTTGCAGTCGACTGTGTAGAAATAGATCGATGATGATGAATTTCTGTCACAACCACAAGAGTCACTGTATGCCTTAGTTGACACCCCTTTCATAAAGAACACAATGAAAGGGCAACACAAAAGGCAAATATGTGTCAGTCATGAGGTGCATTGAGTGTACAGATGAGTGTATTGTACAGATGTGTTCTGCTACCTGACCCCGACCCAACAGAATTTTAAGTTAAGACTAAACCAGTCAGGCTTAGCCAGGCTGGGTCTTAAAGACACGGGTACAGGCTGGGTTCAGGTCTCAGTTTTAAGCTTGTGAAGAACTGTACTGTACGCTGTGCACACGTGGTGCCTTTGTCGTTTATTATTCAATTAGAATTTAACAGAAACCCAATTGTACATACAGCATGAACTATTGTTAGACAATACATAACACTTGTACACACAAATAGACAATTGAGAATACCATGGTGTAAGTGAAATCTACAGAATGTATCTGTGTGCATTTGTGGATGTTTTTACGTGGATATGTAGCGCTACATGTACATTAGCAGTTAGATTAACGCCTCACTATCCGTGCACGTTACCTTCTGTGAGGCGAGCTTTCCCTCCCGTAGGCTGGCAGAGGACTGTGGAGCAGCCTACACACAGCACGACAGTCTGAGCGTGACTGAACACTGTGGTGATCTTGTAGCAGCCTGAACGCACAGACGGTACAAATCATTGGATGGGACAGCCATGAAACAACCACAACACAACAACCACTGCATAGTCACATGTACTCGTGGTTACTGAAATGTCCTTGCAGCTGTTTATCAAAAGGAGTCACTTGAAACTAATTTAACAAACAGCCACAAGTGTCATTGTATGCCTTATTTGACACCCCAATCACTAAGGGAACAATGAAAGGGCAACACATAAAGGCAAATAATGTAATACAATTCATGTGGACGATGTAATTCAATCCATCACATAAATGATTATTACACTTCCAACTGAAATGTACTCAAATATCAAAAGTAAAAAAGATATTTTGATTATTGTACCCAATTTTTCTTCATTACATTTGACTTAATATATTTGCATAAACGTCTTCAGTCTCAGCACTTAAATAGGAGGATCTAGTTGGGTACAGTAATTGTGTACTTTGCACATACATTTCTCTCTGTTATTTAAATCATCCATGAGGGTTTGGCCAGGTTGCCACGTAAACAAACTGACCTGGACATTTGACATCCATAAAATATGAATTAGGACTCTGAACAAGACGTTTTTTCTTGTGTCGCCTCTTTTCCTCCTCAGAGCTCGGGTGTAACAGATCCCGTGCAAGCTGGAAGGGAATCAAAGACAGTAGATTAGCGGAATATTAATTTATACACATTTAATATAATCTACGTCTTAAATATAATGTAATATAAGGAATAAGTACACATTTTAATTCTGGTCAGAGTCCACGTTACATCATGGTTACAGTGAGCAAGGGTCGAGATCTCTTTACAACTTTTCAAATGAGAGGAAATGTGATTAAAATGAAAGTAAAAGTAATACAAGAAATGGATTGAATATTCAATCTGATTGTACTCAGAATATAACCTACGATATCTTGAAAGGTTGAGTTTAAGCCCTGCAAAAGAAATCACGTGGCCATAAAGGGAGCTCGTGGGCTGCTTTGCGGCACACGTGTTTCTCAATGCCGCGTGCGTTTTCCCATCTTTACGAACACATTACGGATATAAAAAGGTTGATTCCACCAGAAACAACCCACAGCTTGATATCGTGTTAGAATACCGCCGTCAAAACACTTTAAAGATTGCTGCTTAATACAAATAATGCGTAGTGATACTTACAGGCATGACTGCGTGTAGAGACCTTCACCGGAAAAGCACACCGATGACGCACCGGAAACCTTTGGTTGACGGACAGAGACCCGGAAGTAGTAAGATTTATAATAATATATAATAATAATATATAATATAATGCATACATTTATAATAACCGTTGATTGCTTAGGTTTTGGTTACAAAACTAGCTTTTAAATATGTTTGCAAGATATTTTGTTTTCATGTAGCATTGATTCCAATAATAAAGATATTATTTCCGGAGATTTTGAATTTACATGTTCAACTCTATTGTATGAAATATGAGTTGAACATTCAGGTATCATACTTTGACTCATGCAGTGTATGTCGAGCTCCAGTCAATTAAACTACGTGTTACAGGAGACGGTGGATTTCAAATAAATATGCTCAAAACGAAGTAGGCTCGTTAAATATTACGAATCGTTAAGTTACACTGTGTATGATCTTGTATGGTCATTGGACATTTACAAAGAAACATTACAAATTGGACACATTACAAATAATGTAAGTCATAACATGCAACCCTTAACATGTGATCAGAATCACAATCAGAAACAGGTTTATTGCCAAGTAGGTTTTCACATAAAAGGAATTTGCCTTGATGTTGTGGTGTATGAATATAAATAAATATTCAGAGTAGGAGAAAATACAATTACCACAAAAAAGTAGTCTGAAATAGAAGTTTGCAATACCAGTATATACTTTATATTTTCTTTAGTATAAAGAGCTGAACAGCTCTGGTTATACAAACTTCCGATCTGTTACAATTAGGTTGGTAAAACACACATGTTTTAAATGTCAAAATGAATCAAAAAAGTTACTTTTATTATTTCAAGTAAATATAAAAAATAAACCAGAGATGAAAGTAAATATGGGGCTCCAGTTATTTACTTCAGTACAGTTTGCAAACACATAGGGGCAAATATTCTGACGTTTTTAACAGAGATGCTCAAGAATAAAAATAAAATAATTTCACTTCCAGCCGATGATGCCACGTTAGTATAAAGGTGAAGCCATGGTTCAAGTCCCCTCAGGTGTATCAGTCGTTTTCTGATTAGATGGCGCCATCTTGTGTTCATGCCGGGTACCTGCAAGTCTGAGCCGTAACTCCCACGAAGCACTCCCACGCTACGTAGTCTGTGATCGGATCTGGGGGAAAAAAACACGTAGCCGTGTGATATGGACGTTTGGACGAAAGCAAAATGAATCTGGATTAGATTTGTTGGTGAAGACTGATCGGCAGTGGACAGTTAAACTTTGGATGGAGTGTATTTCTTTATGCAGCGCAGTCCAAACACAGCACGGAGGCACTGAGGGGGATCGGAATTTACCGGTGACAAGAGAGGGAAAAAAAGGAAAAGAGGATCCACTCTTTACATGGAGTTTTAAAAAGCCTGCTTCGTGTTAAATACAATAACAACTCGTATCTTTGAAGACTTGAGTCGATGAAAAGTGCTTCCAGAAAGGGACAACCCAAACTTTCCCTCATCTAGCTTTAACTTCTGAAGAAACAGTTCCGACCATGGCGAAGAAGTATGATTTCCTTTACAAATTGTTACTCATCGGGGACAGCGGAGTGGGCAAAACGTGTTTGATCATTCGTTTTTCTGAGGACAATTTCAACTCCACGTACATTTCCACCATCGGTACGTTGTTGTAATGTTTGCCTTTCTAACCGCCGATATTTCTGCACCAGCTTCTGCTTGGCCTCTCGAACTTATTCCATGAGTATAAGACAAATGTTTGCTCAATGCTGACATTTCATTCGTTCTCCATTTGATGTTGTCGCCTACAAACTGGTTTCCCAGACTGCTTTCATGTCTGAACTAGTCCGTGTTCTCTCATTTCTTTTTCTTTTTTCATTCTGTCTCTTGTCCTCTTGTTGAATGTGTGTGCTGTCTTTTCCCTGACCCTCTCCCCCATCTCTCCCTCAGATCTCATTCCTCTTGGCTCTCAGAGGGTACACCCACCCTCATTCCTATCTCTTTTACTATCTCCACGTTCCCAGGATAATGGTTGGCTTTCTGGCAAGCACAGATTTTTTTTTTTTTTTTTTTTTCACAGGACAACCCCCATCCTTTTCCCCTCACTGTCTGTCTGTCAGCTTGTCCATCCAACATAACTCAAAGTCAGTGTGTCCTGCATGGCTGTACGTCTTTCCTAAATGACACTGAGGGGTCAAAATCACCATGAATTAGTCTCCACCCCTGTGACGGTGACCTATATATGCTGTAGTGTGTGTGTGCTTGGATGGGTGTGTTCATATCTGAGGTATTTTAACTCTGTCCATTCTCTCTGCTCTTTACAGGCATCGACTTTAAAGTAAAAACCATTGAAGTGGAGGGAAAGAAAGTGAAACTACAAGTCTGGTAGGAGATGACAGTTGGTTGCTTGTCTGGAAATGTTTTGTTCTTCTCTGACTCATTTTCCTGGGAGGAAAGAGGAAGCTCCCTGCTGTTCTCCAAATTGTGACTATAGGACAGGGTTTATTGTCCAAGATCCATCACACATGTCCCGCCACAGAGAGTCACTTCATATCATTCAAGGGTGTGCTTGCTATAGCAGTATAAAATGAAACATCGTCCTGCAACTTCAACTATCTTTGACAGTTGTATTTTAAAGCTCTTGCATGCGTCAGTGCACATTTTTCTTACTTTCACTGTGTGCGCTTTGTGCAGGGACACAGCAGGACAAGAGAGGTTCAAGACCATTACCACAGCCTACTACAGAGGAGCCATGGTGAGCACAGGACGCCTGCAGAACGAGCAGACTGGATAATCACGGCTGACATCCTCGTCCCTTTGTGCTCGCTTTGTACCGTTCACTGACTCCTTAAATCCTCTCCCTCTGTCTCTGTGTCAGGGCATCATCCTGGTGTATGACATCACGGACGAGAAGTCCTTCGAAAACATCCAGAACTGGATGAAGAGCATCAAAGAAGTGAGACTGTTTCCACTCAGTCCTGACAAAGATAACCAGGAAATACTAAAAAAAATAGTGCTTAGTCAGGTATTAGTCATGAGTATGGGCCTTTACTCACTGCAACAACCGAGCAGGGTCATTGCACAACTGGTGATTTTAAAGGGTCAGTTCACCTCCCTAACTAAAAGTTATCTTACCTGATAACTTTTTTTCAATTAACTAGTTGCTTTGTCAGAATATGATGAAAATCCACAGTGTAAATTGATGTCAAATAGAAAAGCAGCAAATACTCACATTGGGAAATGTAGACACAGAACGGTTTCTAGCTTGAAAAATTATTGAAATGATCAATTTATTATGAAAGTAGTTGCTGATTCCATCAAGCTTCTCAGTTAATCAATTAATAGCCCAAATGAGAACTGTCCACATGAAGGTTTGTGTATTATCACGAGAAAGTGACACTTTTTCTCTTTTTAGTTTTTAAATGTATTTTTGTTTCAGCTCTATTTTATTGTGAAGGCAGCAGGAAAGTCTTATATAACGGAGAAAGACTTGCTCACACTGTCTGTTACTCTCTTTATTTTAGTTTTTCAAAGTATTTTTGAGGCATTTTTGGCTTTAATCAATAGTGGACAGTTAAATAGGGAAATGAAACAAGGGGAGAGATGTTGCGATCACATTATGTGGTTTGGGTCTTAACCACTATTGTACCAGGGCGGCCATGGTCACTTTATCAATGATGTTTTGGTCAGGGAAGATAATTTCTTCCTGATCAAGATCTAAGAACAGAAATGTCATTAATTGAATGAGTACTAGAAACCGTGAGAGTGTGTGTGACGACGCTCTCTGAGCAGGCCTCGCCCTCCAGCAGCCTGGTGGACAACTCGCCTGTCTGGCTGCATGACTGGCAGACAGACAGTCTCTTTGTCTCTCCTGGCTTTCATCCTGTCTGGTTTTGTTACATTTAGTTCATCGTTACACTAATTTCCCCTTTAGTTATGTAAAATAACTTATTTTTAGTGAGTCCCTCCTTTGTCCATCCTCAAGCTGATAAATTGGGGGCTTGTCCGAGATCAAATTAATCACGTTGGTAAGATGAAGCATGGGTTTTGCTTTTGGAGGAGAGCAATATTCTCGTCCTTTTGTCCTATTCTTTTTTACCCCCTACACTTGGTTAGTGTTGGTCCATTGTGCATTTTGATTGAAGTCGTCCTTTGGTTACTGGAGTTTTCTTCCATTTAATTGAGTAACAATCTCTTAGCAGTGCGTTTTTTACAGCTTGATCTATTAAATTGGCAGTAAAAGCGGCTCGAACTGTATGCTTGGGATCCCATCTGTGGCTTTTGGTAGGTAACTGCAAATCAAGGACTTTCTGGACCGACTGGTTTCCAGAGAATAAGACCCCCCATCAGTAACTGCCTGAAGACTAGGGTTGGGCTTATAGAGTTAGCTATGAGCCCAGGTTATCCTGGTCCTGAAGTATCCTTACGTATAGAGACAGTTTTCCTCCAGAGCAGCTGCTGTACGTGCAGCTCATTCTGGTTGTTCAGTTCAGACTTAATGTAGAGATGTATGTGGTCTTTGATTTCTTCTTGAATGCGATCTCCACAAGAACTCAACTAATCGATTAACTGCATTCCTTCGTCCACAGAATGCATCAGCTGGGGTCAGTCAAATGTTACTAGGCAATAAGTGCGACATTGAAGCGAAGCGGAAAGTTTCCAGGGAGACGGGAGAAAAGGTGAGATGACAAACGTAACTATTCCCTTGTTGTTATTTTCATTGCTGTTAAAGTGATGTGATGATGAAGAAGTGAGTCTCATAGTTAGAAAGAGACAATATAAATGAAGACTTGTTGACCTTTTTTCTGTCTTTTAAAGATAACGAGTGATTGTTTGAGGAAGGAACTGAGTCTGTAGCATGTTTTTGATTGTATCTGCTTTGTATTTACTTTAGATAATACGCAGGAAGTGACTATTAGCCGTATCCTGACCTACTGTAATCTGTCCTGTATCTGTTGTTGACAGTTGGCAAAAGATCATGGCATCAGGTTCTTTGAGACCAGTGCAAAGTCCAGCATTAACGTGGATGAGGTGAGCCAGAACACAACCACTGGCTAAACAAACAGTGTCTACATGCCTCATTAAGCTGAGTGTGTTTTGTTGTGATGTTTTGAATGTTGCAGACTTAACTTTCATTTTCTATTTCCTTTAGTCTTTTCTGTCATTGGCAAGCGACATACTACAGAAATCCAGCAAGAAGCCAGTAAGTTATACAGAATAATACCAAACTGAAGCATTTGTTCCTCCCTGAATATAAGACTTTATGTTAAACCAGGTATGTCTGTAATAATCTGTATTTCCTTACTTGACAGGGCCCCACGGGCCGAGAGGTGAAAATCACAAGCAGTCCAGAGAAAAAATCCTCCAAATGCATTCTTCTCTAGATACGACGCTGGCCAGCACACGTACGAAAGAACCATGCACATTTAAGAGCGCATCAGTATTACTGGGGAGAATTCCAGTACAGCAGGTTTTCTGTCTCCATCTGGTGGGCTCACATATCAAATACATACGGGTGCTAAAACTTAGTTTTTTACATCAAAACTACTTTTGTTCCCCAAAAGCGTACTTTGGCAAAAAAAAAGAGCTCAAATTTTATTAAAGTGATTGTGCCTGTATTTCACATTGAACATATCTTCTGCCACATCTCCAGTGATACTGTTATTGTCATGAAATTGTTGCAAAGTCGGGGTCCTAAATGACCCCAAACAAATAACTGACTCAGCATTTCACTTGGCAGATCCCACCATGTTTAGTTAAGCTGTACATTTCTGTCTCTGCCTTGTTTTTCTCTGGCTTGACACCACATTTTCATCCCTTCAACAGCACTGCTTGCTGTCTTTAAAGGGCCTTTAGCTGTGTTTTTTTTAAACTGAGTTGCTTTGTAAAGAAAAAATGTCACAACTTAATGGAACTATTTCTTTCTTACGTGTGAGCACACAGTGGTAGCTTTTAGGGGCTTAATGGCAAAAGAAGAGTTTGATGGAAAGGGTTTTGATTCACATACAGTGCACACAGTAGGCTTCTGTTCATGAATCTTAAATACTTGACAGAATTAGTGAATTGATTAAGTAAGTGGTAAAACATCTTAGGTTAACAATGCACTTTCGCCTCCGTCAATTCACTGTTTGAAATTCAATGATTTGTATAAAGCACAGACAAGTTGACATCCCACTCCTGCAGTAAGATATGAGAGGGCGGAGAAGCATTTTATCTCCCCACATTTTACTGGACCATAAATATATTGCAGAGATGTCAGAGTGAACAGTAATAAATGTTGGCAACATTTGTAGTTGCATTATGTTCATATTGTGCTTATCCTTTGGAGAATTGCTGAAATATTTGAATTGTGTACAGTATGTTAAGTCATTCTACAGTAACAGATGCCATTTAACATTAAGCCCTGAGTCTAGCATGGGCATTTTTGGGGGTTGAAAAAACGCTCTTTGCGTTAATGAATTAAACGAGTTGAGGGATGCGTGAAGTTGAATCTGAAACAAACACTGGTGGTAAACAAGCTTTGTTTAAACACATGACTGGATTGAGAATGTGGACGATAGGAACAGAGATAAGTGCAATATGAGGAGATGAGTGGAGAGATGAAAGAGTGATGGATAAAGCAAGTGAATGGACAGGATGTGAGGGAAGCAGCAGTGCTCACATGACCCTCACTCATTGGTTTCGTGGGTCGTGTCTTTTATCTGAAGTGCCAGGTTTATCTCTCACTTAACACGAACACACATTAGCTATATCTGACGAGACAATTGTTCAAGCAATTTCCGATCATTCAAAATGACTCTGATTAGAGGTGCTCAGCTGATCCGGACAGGCTTGCTGTGTTTCCTGTATCTGTTTTTTATGCATTTCTTTCAAATTCAATGTCTTTTCAGACATGCCACATGGCTTTGTATGTATTTCACAGACCTGCCACTTGCTGAATAAAAATGCTAAACAACAAATATGATGAGCGTGTTGTAGTGTGACAATGTATGTTGGTAAGTCAAGTCAATTTTATGCATACAGCTCATAATTACAAAGCATTTGTTTTCTATTTGGATAAGGGAAAGCACCCCAAAAAAACCTTCAATAGGAAAAAAAGAAGACATGTCAGGAGGAGCAACAGGTTGGGCGGATATATGCAATAGATGTGGACCTTGTTATGTTTTGGATTTACGTTCATTACTGTTTTACTTAAATACCAAAATAAAGATCAATTCAAATAGTCAGACAGCTTACAGTTAAAGAGCAGAAGGTGGCTTTGTGTCTCAAGGATGCTAAAGGAAATATGTATGTTGACACATAGTGTTACTTCATACCAAGCACCTATATGCCCCACCCATTCTCACTGTAGGAACCCCTGTTGCCTTCTTCTGAACCACTGTCCTCCGAATACGGTGGCCTGCACGGTGGCCTGCCCCCCCCCCCATTGCTGGACGACTGCCCCTGTCGCTAGGCAACTGCCCCTCCTTTCCAGCATCAGCACCACGACGGTGTCATAGACTGTTGTGCGCGCGCTCTGCCGCATTCAAGTTGCCTGCACGTCATGCGTGCCTTGTCATCACGCAGGGCAGGTTTCGGTTTGCAAACACGATATATAATTATTTCCCAGTGCCAGAGCTGTATAGCGAGGACCAGAGGAGGAGACGCGGGCAGCAGAGGGGAGGGCGAACCAAAAGAAGAATTACAAATAAACTTGGATGGATTTAAACATGTTTTCCCGGACATAAGTAGGATTCAGGCTATGCTGTTATGTTCCTGTGACGTCTGGTGGGAGGCAGTAAGGTGAACGTCCGGGATACATACACACAAACACACGGCCTGAACGGGATGCCCGCGTGACTGCAGGGAGGAAAGAGGCGGCGGAGGAGGAGGAGGAGGAAGGGGCTCTAGGTGCGTGTGTAGACCACCGCAAAACCCCCGAGGTGGAGTTATGAAAGATCGAAACCTGGGAGGAAAAAATAATTCCAGCCTGACGTCTATTTTTGGTGCAGTTTGAAAATCGATGGAGTATATTTATTTCCTGTTCACGTCGAGGTAATTAGTCTCCGTTACCGAACGAACCGATGATCTTGGGGCTTTGATCTCCACGCCGCCTTTTTGCTTATTCGTGACAGGAGGAGGACCTAACATAAGGTCGCGGGAGGGGAGGGCACATGTTCGGATGTTGCTCCTCCTGATTGGACATACGGACTGAATGATTCATGTCATCTCTGCTGGGGGTGAAACAACGAGGGATCAGCTGCTTTCTTTGGGATGCTTTAAAATTTGCGGCCTGCTAGTGTCTCCAGTTACCGCAATGCCACTGGCGAGAGGTGGAAGGCAGAAGATGAAGAGGAGGGAGCAGCAAAAAGCAAATGAGTATAACAGGGATGGATAACTTGCAAAAACTAGCCCCATTTTGATTGTCTTTAAGTCAGAGAATGGTATTGTAGGCCAACTCTGTGGGTGATAGTGGCCTGTGAACCGCATGAGACACTGTATTGACTGAAGCTACCTTAGTATCATGGCTGAAACATCATATGAGGTGAGTACGGTGGCTGTGAGTGTGTAGTGGCCGCTCAATTGTCAACTTTCTGCTGACAAAGTTCTTGGACTCACTCACTGGACTACAGTGCGCACCATGGGGCATTGCGCAGAACCTATGGCACCTGCCAGTGGGGAGCTTGGTGCATAATTGTGACAGAGTGGAGCTCTGAAAACCAGCATTTATGTCTCTCCCTCTTCTACTTGCCTGCACTTCTACCCACACAACTGAACTTTGTTTTATGAACCCAGAGTAAGTGTAAAACCTCTCCCAGCCTCCTCCACACACGCCGACGAGCCTGGCATGCCTTCGCCGTCAGACTCCAGCAGCGTGGCTTCGGCCTCGGGGTCTCGAGGCTGGTCAGACAGCCGCAGGGGCATGTCAGGCCGGGGGCCTGGTGGGGCACGGCTACTCCTGTACCTAGGGCTGTGCCACCTGGGCCTGGGGGCCATGGTCCTGGCCTTCTCTTTCACCAGCATGGCCTTCACCTCCTCTGCCCGTGTGAGGCAGTCCTGTCCGTTCTGGGCTGGCTTCTTCGTAAGTGTAAATCTGACTTGAAACCTACAGTATTAAGAATATAACAGCAGAGAGTGTGTTTTCTGATGTGTGTGGTGTCTGTTTGCAGGTGGTGGCATCAGGGATAGTTGGGATAATCTCATGGAGGAGACCTCTGACGCTTGTGGTGTGTATATTTTAATCTGATAAAAGCAGCATTCGAGTCTCTTAGCAATAGGTGCAAAACCATGTTGTGCAGCAATGCTGGATTTCTAAAAAGAAATAGCCTACGCACCATTAAAGTATGAAAAAAAACTCAAGTGAAGTGTTGAGAAAACAATCTCATCAAAAGGTCACTTTAGTAGCTGCTGTTGAGCGATCATATCACATGATCTTCATCAGCGGATTCGAATTCTACATGGTCAAATTTATATTATTCCGGGCATTTTTAGGACTTCTCATCCATGTTGGCTTGAAAGCTGACGTTCAAAGTTTTATCCTTGGATTCAGAAACAGCAGTTGCAAAGTTAAAGAGCCTTAAGGTGACTCCTGCATACTATTTTATGGGCTTATATTTTGTGTATTCATGTATTGACTCAGTAAAAATGACTACAAACTAAGTAATCCACAACAAATCCATCCAAAAACCAGTCCTATACTTCGCTGATTAGTTCCTCCTCTTCGGCTGAAGGTATGTTTTTCAGTGAAATCACCTGGCGTAGTCTTTGGATGATAGAATAAGACTCAAGTTTTTAACTCCCTGCCCCAAATCAAAACATGGCTCTGTGTTTCCCCCGCAGGTGTCACTGTTCATGCTGCTGTCTGCAGTGTGTGTGATCCTCAGTCTGGCCGGCTCAATGCTCTCCTGTCAGAATGCACAGATGGTCAAGTCTATGCTCACCTGCCAGGTACACTACATTATGCAAGTGTTGTCTTCTGCACTCTCATGCTGAGACGATGCCCTGGATGCATCGGGAATGTGTCAGGAATAATTGTGAATATGTTTTTCGTGTGCAGTCTCACGCCTCATACCGATCCTCTGTGTTTGAGAATGTGTGTAGGTGGAGAATGGTCTGTGTGTGTGTTGTGCGCCCACTCACTCCTGCTCCATCACAGAGGAGGAGACCCTGGTCCTCTACCTGAATGCTGACTGTCACTCAGTTAAACATCAGCTCAAGGTTGGTAGGTTAACCAAGTTAACCATTAATGGGTAGGTTCCCCATTTTTCAAGCCTGTATTGAAATAGTAGCCAGGTGCTCATATTAACATTGAAACAGTTTTTCTCTTGCTGTTAACATCCCCCATGTACAAAGGACAAAGTACAAAGTTCTTGTTTTGTGCAAAAATGTATTCAAAAGTTCTCAGACACTAATATTAGGGTTCAGCAATCCGAGTTGGAAAAATCAAGTGGATATATCTTCCAAAGTTACAGTGTTTTTTGTACAAAAGGCAATCTTTTTGTTACTATCCTCAACAGGGAAACACTGTAGCAAAAGCTGAACAAGTGTGAACCTATCATATAAATATGACACATTTCCACCAATTAATTGCCTCTGTGTTGTCAGATTTTGATTTTCTGACTGCGTATTTCTCTAAAGGACCTTTTGTTCAGTGCATGTGGTCTCAGCATTCTCTCCACCATCATCTGTACTCTGTCCACTGTGACCTGCAGTATCCACATATTCTCTCTGGACCTTGTGCACCTGGTGAGTACAGACACAGCACATTTTACATTCACCAAACTGACTTGACTGACTCAGCAATAAACTACACTGCTGCTTATTTGAGCACAGACTTTGCACAACTGTTGTTGCCCATTACATCCATCTGTTGTATGATATTAATGTGTTTCCCATTCTCCCTGCCTAGCTGGCCCCACATCGCTCTCGTTCAGTCAACCCAGAATGCACCACTCCTCAGGACGCCTTCCTGACCAACATCATGGACTTTGAGGAGTTTGTCCCACCTATCCCTCCACCCCCCTACTACCCCCCTGAGTACACTTGCAGCTCTGAAACAGACGCTCAGAGGTACTGCACCTAATAACTATTATTATACATCACTTGTGTGCAGTGTGTAATGTTTGTTTGATATCTTCTGTATTAACGTCCAGCATCACCTATAATGGCTCCATGGAGAGCCCCGTTCCTCTCTACCCCACTGACTGTCCCCCTCCTTATGAAGCTGTGATGGGACAAAGAGCTGCAAGCCAGGTGTGTGTGTGTGTGTGCGTGTGTGTGTGTGCGTGTGCGTGTGTGTGCGTGTGTGTGTGTGTGTGTGAGTGTGTTTGATGTCCTATGCTAATCCTTCTCTATTTTGACTGTCAAGGCAACAGTGTTTGACCCCCACGGCACAGAGCTGTCTGGAGAGAGAGGAACTTCTACTGCCTTCAGCGGTGAGTGTGAGAAGATGTTGAGTTTTATAATGTGGAGACATGGAGATTCCTTTGGGTACTGTATCAGAATCAGGTGTATATTTTAAGCAACTATAACTGTCTAAATAAGATCATAAAACATTTTTCATGAAAATAAAATGGGCCATTAGTTCAATTCAGTTATTACTTACAGTATTTGAAGGAGGTACACAAAATAAAGCAATGCTTAACCTATGCTTTAAGTTAAACTCAAAGCAAACTGTGTCCCTTCATAATAAAGGATTACCTTTCTTTATTAGTGTCCATGGACAGTGGGTCTCTGTTGATGTCAGAGATTGTGGACATCCCTGACGATTCCTCCCCCTCTGAGGATTCCTGTCTGATGGAGGTTGGGCTGAGGACCCAGGGGGACAGGGGCAACAGGAACGTTAGCGAGGGGGGAGACGGAGGAGACGGCGGGGAGTACATCAGCTTTCGTGGTCCCCCGTCTCAGACACCAGAGAGTCCTCTGGCAGGAGGACCGAGAGCCAGGCGCTTCCTCAGAGGAGAGAGGTCCAACTCCTGCTCTTCACCCAGCACAGCGTCCACCACATACAGGTGAGGACAAACGCACACATACAGACACAATTCATTCGTGTCAGAGCTCTACGGTTGACAGTGGTATTTTGTGCTGCCCTGTATTGTCCCGCAGGTCTCCAGTATTGCGTCGGCAGGCCATGCTAGCTAGTAGCTGTTCCCAGCTGGAAGCTATCGGGAAATCCACCTCTCCACAGCGATCCTCCATCCCAGAGTTTCGAGGTTGCCCCTCCACTCTCTCACGCCAAGGAGACACCCCGGCCTCCTCTGCTCCTCCCATTTCATCCCCCTCGCCCGCCAGTGAGCAAAGCGGTGGTCAGGGTAATGGGCCACTCCTCCTGGGCCAACCGTTGTACCTTCGGCGAAGGGCTGGCAAGAGTGAGAAGGATGGAGAGAGTGTAAGAAGGGATAGTGAGGGCCTCCTACGTCTCGTGAGGTCACACAGCGAGCCTGGCATCAGCTCCTCCACTGACACAGGTAAGTCAGACGCAAAAAGGTGTACGTCTCCTACATTACCATGTCGATGTCCATAACCTGTCCTTCTTTCTCCTCTTCTCTAGTTGACTTTGGCTCTGGAGGCAGCAAAGTATCTATAGACACAGGTAACAGCTTATATCTACAGGCCTTTAAAATGTGATGTTCTGGGGAACTTAAGCTCATAACATCCTGGGTTCAAATCTGGCTTCGTTGCACGTCATCACCGCTACTCTCTCTCTTCGTTTCGGTCTCTTTTCACAGTTGACTGTCCAATTAAAGGCAAACAATCCCAAAAGAAAACACTTCTAAGTAGTTTAGATGAGACACATTTCAACACATTTGCACCTGACAGCCGTCATTTATCAAACCCTCTTAGAAACCAGCACAGCTATAAACATCAGAGGAGACGTGCAGATATGTCCCTGTGTGCATCTGATTTGTGATCTATATCTAAATTAGCAGGGATTTGATTACAGGTTGATGAATTAGATTCTGCTGTGGAAACAATAATGTGCCTCTCCAGTTCCAGTCATTTTCAAAAGACACATCCTGATTTATGAATGTTGCACTTGTTGTTCCGTCAAGAGGCTCGTCATGGAGCACAGCAAAAGATCGTCAGTGGTTGCTTTGCTTCCCTTTTACTAATTTGTTCTTAATCCTGGATACATATCTTATTTCAACACAAAATCATCTGGCATATTATGTAATTCCAATAGAGTTCCATACTCTGAGTATACCTAAAAAAGCAAAGCAGAAATGTATCTTACAGCTGACAGAGATACAACTAACAAAATACAGATCAAGATCAGATGTAGTACTTCTGGGCCTTTGGATGAGGATGACAAAATGTGCAAACTGACTCCTGATATTCTTCATCTAGTTTTATGTTACTCCTCTGTCCCCTAACTTGTTGAATGAGGATGAGAAATATGTCTCCTTCTTTCTGACTCCCTCTCTCATAGGTCCATCCTCTGAGGCATGTCTGTTGCCCCGCACCTCTTTGCCTCCTGCTGCAGCTCTGCCAAGGAAAGGCAGCATGAAATCAGCAGCCACGGAGGTGCAGGTTCCCTCTAAAGCGCCCCCCACCTCACCGCTGCGTTTACCTAAAGACTGCCACCGTTCCCTTGGAGACCTTAAAGTTAGTCTGAAAATAGTTGATGCAGAAGCAGCAAACACCTAAAACTACTATCGTTAATGTTTCCCATGGACGTCTTAGCAATAGCTGAGCAAGCTGTTGTTTGATTGCCTTATTTCATCTCCCTCTTCATTGATCTTTTTCCTTTTCCTTCAGGTGACTCGGGGTCTGGTGGCTCGCTTCCTGCAGCGCTCCAAACGCAACCTATCGCCCTCCTCCGAGCATGCTGGGAGCATCGGGCAGGGGCCTAAGAGGAGGAGTGGAGTTGAGGGCGCTGCCACCAACCACCTGCCCTTGGAACAAGTATTGGAACAAGTTTATTTCCCCCTGTCTTCAGTTCACTGCATCAGAATAATTCAGTGTTTCTGCGAGTAAAGTGATCAGCTCTTTGTCTCAATGTTTTTTCTGAAAAACTCATCTCCAGGTGTTGCTGACCCCTTGGAGCAACAGCCGAGGGTACCCCAACCATCACACCCATCACCCCCATCGCCGTGGACACCACCATTCCCATAGTGACAGTCGACACAACCGGCATTGCAGCAGTCTGGTGCCAGAGGGGATCCACCTGCGCAGCTGTGGAGATTTAAGCTCCTCGTCCTCAGCATCACTACGTCGATTAGTGACACCTCATCCACCGCATGGGTCATCAGGAGCTCTTTACTCAGAGTCTGCACTGTGAGGAGAGGAGGAGGGTGAAGGAGGGACGGAGGATGCTTATGAGTTGACATGGTTGTAAGGAAGATGGGAGGAAATAAGGCAGGCTGAGGAAAAGCAGAGTCTGAGGCAGTTTAGTGGAGATATCTAATACTTCAAATTTGAACGTCTTCCCTCCTTTTCCTCTTTGTCACCCCAGTTTCCTGAAGCCAACGTTGCAAATGGCCTTATTCAGTGGTGCTCTTCATCACTCTGAACATAATCCCAGAGCTCACACTATTTCACCGTTCAACATCAGTGAAACGGTCACTAGATGCTTATTTCTGAGCAGTGTGGTCCCTGTTCTAACAGAATGAATCCACAACTGGCCGAAAACAACCAACCAGATACATCTCTCCGCTGTATTCTCCACCTGTTCTCCCTCAATACTGATCTGGAGACATATTTTCCTCAAGACTGGAGGCAGAACTCGACTAGCATTCATGCTACAACAACCAGTTACTCAGATGTCACACAATCACAATCACATTATGGGTTGCAATATGCTTCTGGCCTTTTTGTACATTGCAATTCACCCACAGGATCGCTCAGAGAAGTCTCATAGAAACTTATTTTGTCTTCCATTGATTACAAAGAAAGAATCTCAATAGATATAGAGTTAGCTGAGTACGATGTAAGATGAGGTTGCACATGAGGACAAGTGCTCTCACATGGAAAACCCTTAACTGAGTTGCTAATTTTGTCTTTTTCTTTTTGTAATTCAGATTGTTTTTGCAATCAGATTCCCACTTTCTCCACGTTTTTCCACCTACACACTGGCCTTAAAACAAAAAGGCAGCCAGCATTTTTAACATTAACATTAATGCATGCCACAGACACATGCTAAAGCGTTTGAAATGTATATTCTGTGAGTGGCCCCTGGACACGGTGGTTTGATTTGCATATGTGCATGTTTTGCTACAGCCTCCCGAATACTGCAGGAACCTTATGCATTGGACCTGACCGTCTCTGTAACTACGTAACATGTCCTCCGAATGTCTTATCTGCATGTTTTGACAATTCTTCTTATTTTTTTTCCTCTTGCATTTGAAATGTGTTTGTGTCAATAGATAGTTGAAGGGGAAGGTCAGAGTCAAAGATGCGCAGTGTTCCCAAAAGTTTTCTGCCAGATGGCCCCAAACATGCCTCTGCATCCTAATTTGATTTTGGTCGGGTTTGAAAATGTTTCAAGTGCACATGCATATCTTTGACACTAGCTAACGTAGCCGGATCCTGTCAGATGAGTGGTATAAATTGCACTGCGACTGAAGAGTCTCTTGCAATAAATGCTGGTGTTTGTTATGAGGCTGGGCTTCACACTATGCTTTGGCACGGTTCTCTTTGGACTTGCAGGGGTTGTGGATAGGTGGTAAATGGAAAAAAAATAAGCCATGGGCAGCTGATAGTGAACATATGATGGGTCTGGCAGCTCTGGATACTCGGTATTGAGTATATCAATATTTGTGTCGGATTGGAGTGTTTTTTCTTTGGAAAGTATTTTTGATGTGCTCACAAAGTGATGATATTGAGTCCATATCAGTAAAGGCACATTTTGGATATACTCGTATGTATTTACCAAATTTTAAAAATGCACACGCACACACACTTACGCCTGCACACAGATGCAGGCACACCCATACACTCCCTTATTAAGGCATTGAGCTGTATTTCTACCTCCTGTCTTGCATTAAACATTATTTATTTGAAGAAATGTATATCTGTATGGCAGGCTTAACAGGCTAGAGCCTTGAAACCTGAATAATAAATGTATCTTAACATGACACGTATTCCAGATTTTAAATGCAGTGTCAATGGCAAAACTTTCAATGCAAGTTATGTATTTCAAAATATGAAATAAATGATAGACAAATACCTATGTTTATGTTTCTTTACCAAATATGAAGAACAGAATGCCTGGGTTTGATGTTTCCCTTTTCTGCTCTAAAAGTTTAACTATTACTATAATTATAATAGTTGAGGCTCACACCTTGTTTAACAAATCTCCTCACTCCACCTTAACCCCACCTCTTCTCAAATCCTATTGGTCAGCCAGTGTGAAAGCCCATCCTGGTTCGATGGTACCGGCCAATCAAACGCTCAACATCAAGTGGAGCCTTCCAAAAGTCCACGCCCATATGCACCACTCGCAATGGATTCTGGGGGACATAGTTCTGCTGCTGTGTATTAAATAGGACAGCTCCACGACAGCGAACTACACATCCTAGTTTAAGGAGACGTTCACAGACTTCAGTTGGACCGAAGACGAAGAAACAGAAGCTAAACTACTTTGCTATTAGTAAATCAAACAGTTTGGGACAAGAGGACAGTATCATTATGGTATGTAAAGGCATGTGTATGAACGAAAAAAAATAATTTACTACGGTAGATATAGCTAGCTTTGTGAACAGCCTGGTTGAGCTACCATCATCTACTGTTACCTGCAAAGTCATTGCTCTAATCCTCGTTCTTGCTTACTGAGCTCAGTAGGCGAAGAGACTATGACGCTATTAGTTTGGTAGCTTTCCTCAACCGGAACACGTTTAACGTTTTTGTAGCTATGGCACTGCTGTAACGTTAGCTTGGTAACGGAACAGTCCGACTGAGTGTTAAAGCTCAGCTTGTTGACGGCTAGTCGGGACGGTTGGACGGTTGAGAATGAGACGTCTGCTGAGCTTGCTCATTAAAGCCCCTAAAACAATCCGGACCATGTGGCACATCGAGTCCCCGCTGAGATTAAAAACAACCTCGGTTGTGATGTGCACCTCGTCTCTGCAGGGAGACAACCTTTGCAACGGGACGCACAGCAACAACAAGGCGCTGCTGTCCGATCCTCATCTGTTCGAAGCCCAATTTGACGAGCTGGTGACGGAGCTTTCAGAGAGCGACCTCGCGGACCCCGCGCTGGCTGATGCTCTGAACAGGTTTAGAGAGGTATGTATGTCTGTCTGTCTTTTACAGAGTTACGTCTGACGAGTGCACTGTTATTTCCTGTTGTTCCTATATGCGTCTTTTCCCCCCTCAGGTTTTGGTGTACAATTCTCCCGGAGGCAAGAGGAACCGAGGACTGTCCGTGATCGCTTCACTGAGGGATCTTCTCTCTCCCACTCAGCTCGCACAGGACACAGTGCGGCGGGCTCTGTTGGTTGGCTGGTGCATTGAGTTGGTAAGGACACGTTGTGTGTTAAAGGATAAAGCTGTTGTTATTCCACATTTTTCTTATTACAAATTAATCCCAATAAATAGCCAAAACCAGCATTGCAAGTGCAGCCTATCCCTGCATATCTGCCCATCAACTAAACGCATCAATTAGCCATATCTTTATACTTGGTGACAAGTTTCTTAATTATGACTGGCACTTTAGTTTGTTTTGAGTCAATCCCACATACACCATCCTGATGCTGTAAACTAAATGTTCACTAGTGCTCCAAATCCTTGTATAGTCTCCATCAAATGCTATTTATTTTCCTGTTTGAGTAGCAGTTGCTGGTACTCCATTGCTTACCCCTTTTTAAAGATGTGTATCTTCAGTAGGAACAAATGGGCTTGGGACCAAGTGCCACAGACGGGGAGGTCAAAGTACTGTGTGGTCTGAGCAAGGGACGTAGAAAGTGAGGAAAGGGCCATTGGCCCCCACTTTAGGCCCCTGGCGATCCCATCAGATGGTCTCTACTTATACCTCAAATCAATAAATTCACACCATCCATCACAATATTGTTTATTTATGATTTTCTTCACACCCGAGCTCCACAAGATCAAAGTTGGGCTTTACAAAGTTAGGTTTGTGTTTTTTGTCACTAAAAAGCTCACAAGCACAGACTGATTGTTGTAAAGACACTTTGCAAGGTGTCATTAAGTGTTGCGATTGTGTCTCTGTTGCTTGCAGCTTCAGGCATTTTTCCTGGTGGCAGATGACATCATGGATGGATCTGTGACTCGGAGAGGACAGCCCTGCTGGTACAAGAAGGTGAGGCCTGATATATTCCAGAAAAAGAGGGACTATACTGTTGTTTTTGTTGTTGTGGGATATTTTATTTTCCACTACAAATGATGCAGTCAGTTCAAGTGAATCCTGTCTGTTTGTTTTTAAGGATGGAATCGGTCTGGATGCCATCAATGATTCATTTCTCCTAGAGGCGGCTATCTACAGACTGCTTCGCAGACATTGCAGGGATCAGCCGTACTACGTCCACCTACTGGAGCTGTTTACGGAGGTACTATATGTCCTGATTGATTACACAGGCACACGCATTAACTCAGGATTCTTACTGCACCTCCTTTTTGTTACAGACATCTTTCCAGACCGAGCTCGGCCAAGCTCTGGACCTCATGACTTCTACCCCTGGTCAGGTTGACTTCAACAGATTCACCATGGATAGGTAGTGAAGATACATCTGAAAAGTACATTTGCAGAGAAGGATGTTGTCTACAAAAGAAAATGGGAGTAATTTTTTTCTCTCCTTGTCTTTCAGGTATAAAGCTATTGTAAAATACAAGACTGCATTTTACTCTTTTTACCTCCCAGTGGCAGCTGCAATGTACATTGTGAGTTTGTTTATATTTTACACACATGACGCAAGTAAGAGAGAAATGTTCTAGTCTTTCTCATAACTACTTTACCTTACTTCTGTAGGCAGGGATTGAGAGTGAAGAGGAACACAATAATGCCAAACACATCTTACTTGAGATGGGAGAGTTCTTTCAAATACAGGTAGCTACTTTTACACGTCCTCCAGCTTTCACGCCACACATTCAACCATATGCTGCCGAGTTAATAACCACCAAATGTTGATCATTTGCAGGATGACTACTTGGACTGTTACGGAGACCCCGCTGTGACGGGAAAGATAGGCACAGACATCCAGGATAACAAATGTAGCTGGCTGGTGGTGACGGCGCTGGAAACCATGACTCCTGAACAAAGAGCAGAGCTGAAGGTGAGACTTCACTTTCTGTTCAATTATGTACCGATATTATTATTATTATTATTTGGCAAACATTAAACATTGGGGGATCTATCTGCAGCAATGGAATATAATATTAAAGGTCATATTGTAACGTTTGTGTGTCGATGAATAATACAGAATAACAGAACCTTTAGAAAGGTGTCAAATAAAATCGCTTTTCCTTAAAAAATGTATGATAGGCTAGAAAGGCCCATTCGTGTTTTCACTTCGGCAACCGAGGTTCTTCTACACGCTAGGCTCGCTGTAGAAGTTTCAGTTGGTTACAATCTGCAACCTCACCTCTAGATGTTGCCATATCCTACACACTGGCCCTTTAAATACAATGCACACTTTGGTTATATCTCTGTGCTGTACATTTGCCTTTGAGCAATGACCTGTTGACAGATTTTCTCATTTGAAGTAAGTGACCTTTTCAAAAAAATGGATCAAGTGGAATTAGGCACAAGGAATTTTTTTTTTTATATATATATATATATACCGCAGTAAGAAAGTGTGGTCATTTACAAGGTAGTGTAGAAAAAGTGGGGTTTTTTTTTTAACAGAAGGAAACGCAAAAACATGTGACAAGCGTCACTTTTTACAGATATTTTATCCTTTGCCCGACATCTATATTCAGCTAAAACGTCATTCAACATATAAACAAGTATGCATTGCAGCAAAATAAACTGTATTTATTATAAAATAACTGTATAACCTGTATGTGTTTGCCTCTGCTCCCACCTTTTTTAGAAATTCTACTACTCATTTGCTAGTACATTAGCAAAACTTAATTTCATCTTCACCTCTTCCTCAGGCATGTTATGGGCGCCATGATGAAACATGTGTAGAAAAGGTCAAAGCACTGTACAACACCCTGAAAATGCCAACATTGTACCACAAATATGAGGAAGAGAGCTACCAGCGGCTACAGACACTCATTGCTTGTCACGCTCAAAACCTTCCTCACTCAATCTTCCTCAACTTCGCCAAGAAAATCTACAAGAGGAACAAGTGAGAGGGAATGGTGGTCACAAACCGTGTCGGGTGCATCAGCCTGGTTCTCTTTTGACGTTTATGATGCACAGAATAACTTTGAAGTGGTTTGTAGATATTTGGTCGCAAATGTCATCAAACAGTCTTTTACCCCGTTCACTACATTATTGAACCCAGTTCATAATGCACAGTGTCTCAGGTTGATTCTCCGCTGAAGAATACCATGGATAGAAGTTTGACACTGAAATGATGAACACAAATACAATCGGATTGTTTTAATTTTATAGGAATAGATTTATTAATTGATTAGACTCCAAAAGGAACATATATGACAGCAGATGTATCCTGACAGGGGACAGAGGGTCAAACCTCATCAGCTTTCTAATTCCATATATTTTTATATTGCTGCTGTAAAGTCTGTACTGCCTTGAATGTTATTGCTTTTAATAAATAATGTATGAACAGTATTTTTCCTCTTCATCCTTTTGATGTTTGTTTGTGTATTGGTTGTAGAGCACCAACGATTTGTTGTTTAAAATTGACATATGAACTAGAGACCATCTTGCGATGGGATCACACCCATAGTGACACCAAATCAAACCAGGGGCGAGGGGGTCTCTTCCCACCCCCCCTACTTCCAGTGTCCTTGCCTTGACCATACCCGTTTTCCAACTTTCCCTTCATTTTGATCTCATCTACATCCTTGTGAAGTTCCGTGACTACACCTTGCATGGTTGTTACACTATCGCTGTGACAAAATCTGTCCACAGACAGAAATATAAACACCTGACAAAGTACTCAGCGGCTCTGTGGTATTTCCCGCTGCAGTAGGTGTCTCCAGGACCACATGATGACTCACACAGACTCACAAGGTGACAACAATACTAGTATCACTGTTGCAGCTGGTAATTATATCATTTTGAAAAACACTAATTGTTTCAGTCATTTCTAAAGCAAAAATTGACAAAATGTCACAGTTTCTAGCTTTTCAAATGTGAGAATTTGATGCTTCCGTTTGTGATATATTATAGTAAACCGTATAATTGGGCTCTGGGCAATAACAATGGGCATTTTGACTATTAAATGACGTTTCATAGATTAAATAATAGATTTATCAAGGATGTAGTTGACAGATTAATCGATAATTATAATAATAAAGGCTAGAAGCAGTAGTTGGCGTTCAAATGAACCTGGCGATTCTATTATTTTGTGTTAGTTCATTTCTGTGACATAAATTCATTAATAAATTGCAGATAGGATGATTTATGAGGAATCCAAGGATATGAGACTCTTGCTCTCAAAACTAATATTTTTGAAGGAGGTGAAGCTGAAAATGACTCAAGATAAATTGGAAGTGATGATAAGGCAAGTACGGGGTGTGGCTTGAATGGTTGGGGGGGGGGGGGGTTGGCGATGGTTTTCTGGATGCTCGCGAGAAGACAGATGCTGAGGCTGTCACCGTCTAGAGAGATTCACATTCACACGGACTGTGATGCGAGCGAGCCCGACGAGATGGAGACTTTCATCCATCTAACCTGCATCTGATCGTGAGTCGAGTCCTCATTTATTATCGTACTATATATGTCATTTAAAAAAAATGTTTTTAAATGAACCTGCAGAGTCTAGTCGGGGCAAGCAAAACATTATATGCACAAACGAATCCTGCGTAGATCTAGAAACATGCAATTCCGCTGTTAACAATGATATTTCTTGAGTAATTCTTAGGTAAAATGTATTATCATTATCGGTTTTAACTGGAATCTAAATATTATGTATAGTAATTTAGTTATAATAGGGGCGGACGGGCCTGTATTTCAGGGCGATGCGGTTGGAGGTAGCTACCCCCTCCTCCCCCTCCTCCCCCCCCTCCCCGTCTCCATCAGCTCTGTGGGATCAATACATGCAGGGGTAAATACTGTTCACGGGACGGCTTGAATTACATCTGATAATATGCTGATTTTGTGTGTTATTTCAAGGCTTTGTTGGCTTTAATGCCATTCCGACGAAGGCCCATGTGTAAGCAAGCGCTGGAGTGATTTATATTCCTCAGTGAAGTGAAGGGCACTGTGGAGGAATATGAGCAATAGCCTTCGGTAGATGGGCTTGTAAAAGGCAGACTCGGTGCTGTTCAGTGCTGCTGCCTGATTATTTCATGCTCTAGTTAAATGTTCAGTCATTGCTCTAGGTACGTGTTTTTTTAATTTTTTTTACATAATTTCTTTTGATCTAGATCTCACTGCCTCTCTTCAGCTTGTTAGGATGGACTGGTTCAGATAGAGACAGCCTGACTACTGTAAACTCATGAATTGAAGCTGAACATGACCGATAAGGATGACAAGTGTCAGTTATTAAGCTATAAATGAACTGACAATTATTATCATGGGGATCATTTCATGTGATGTGTGTGTGTCTTTGTTGAAATAGATATATAGATAGATAGATAGATACAGCATTTGAAAACCAAGGAAATAGTTAAACAGATGATACTTTGCATGCAGAAAACCATGTTATATACATTTTCAATGTCTAACTGGACTTCTGAAGTCTGAAGGCACCTCAATGTTTTTAGCTGCACAGTATTGCTCAACAAAAGATTCAATATTTTTAAGGGCAGCAACTAGCAATTGTTTCATTACTAACTGACCTGTCCATCATTTTCTTGGTTAATCAATGAAGCATTTTGTCTACTACAATTTTTTTTAAATGACCACTGTTTCTCAAGGTGATGAATCCAGGGTGACGTCTTCAAATGTCTTGTGTTGTTCAACTACCAGTCCAAAAGGCAAAGATATTCAGTTTACTATCATGAAAATCTTTGAAAACCAGCACATATTCACATTTGAGAAGCTGGAATCAGAGAATATTTGGAATTTTTGCAAATATTAACATAGAAGCTTATTCATTTACTGTTAATTTATAAATTGACCAATTGTTTCAGCTTGAATTATTTTCCTTAGGTGGGGATGTTTGATAATGTGCCTTTTTTGTACAGCGCTGTGCGTGAGACAGTGTGTGTGTGTGTGTTCATATCACTGCTGTTGCCTTCCAGGACTTGGGCTGCGATAATTATAAAACAAAAAGCTTGAAAGTAATTGCGTTTTAATGGATAGTCCAGATGATGAGTTTAACTCCAAAGACTAAGCCTCATATGAAAACATGTAGAGCAAGAAAAAGGTTTTTGAAAAGCAGAATTTTGCTGGTAGTCGTTATTCACTGTGTGTCTTCTTTGATGTTACAGGATCTTGGGAGTCAAGCCAAGATGTGACCGTCACGGCGCATCATAGTTTGGATCTGTCCTTTACAACACTTGTTTCTATAGCAACAGAAATATCAGAGATTCCTGAAAAGTCCCATTCCCACAATGCAGTCCTCCAGCTGCTCCTCTCAGCCTCCAAAGCCGCGGCGCTTTGACGTCAGCAGGCGGACCAATACCGTAGCTGGACCAAAGTCTCAAGGCCCTGGTTTCCAGAGGGAGGATAAAAACATGAACACGATGACCACGTCCTCCCCACGCCGGCCTACCAAAGCTCCCCCTGCACCCACCAGGACCAGGGTGGCAGTGCAGCCTCGAGCACCAGTAACCCAGTCCAGGTTTGGCTCACAGAAACAAGGCTCCACCTTCTCCAAATCAGTTATGCCCAAACCCAAGAGTGCTCGTGCATCTGCGGCAGCCAAAATTGCACCAGCAGCCGCACTACCTCCGCTTCCCTCCGTTCTCCCTCTTGACCCGAACTGCAACGAGCCGAGCCTCCCGTGTCTGTGCTGCGATGGCCGCTCCCCGCAGGACAATAACAGCATGTTCAACCATAACCACAACAACAACAACACCATCTCTATCAGACAGCAACTGCAGCTACCCCCACCTCCGGCCCCGTTGCCCCAGAGGCAGGATGGGAAAGGGACCAAGGAGAAGCCTCAGCCTCCTGCCAAAGCACAGGCCCAGCTGGAGGCCTCTGCCCGCCCTGCTGCCAGTCTGGAAAATGAAGGCAAGAATGCAGCCGCAAGCGCTAATCTGGACAACAAGAAAAATGTAAAAGTAGAGGAAGAAGATGACGAGGAAGAGAGCAGTGGGGATTTTGATATCGATGATGTTGAAGAGGCTGACAATGATGACGACGACGACGATGATGACACCCTGGTCCCCTCATGCTGTGACTGTCCTCCCTCCCTCCTGGAGTTTTCACTCTCCTCCTCTACCTCGTCATCCTCCACTTCTATCAGCTCCTGCTCTGATCTGGATTCTGACTGTGCAGATCAATCCGCCTCCATCTGCTCTTCTCACGACCAAGATAATCTGACAGTTGCTCTGTCCCCCAAAGGCCGCTCTCACCCACGAGCCCCTGAATGCAAACCTCCTGCGCGTTCACCCCCATCCCTTCCTCTTAGCTGCAATCCCTTCGTCTTAACACCACATTCCCCAATGTCCCCTTGCTCCCCAGATGAGGGCTACCCCTCTGCCCTGGACTCCCCTTCTCCTGACTACTTAGGGGCCAAAGGTGATTCTGAGGTCACCAAACAAGGTTTGCTTGACTTTCTAGAATCTGTTGGTGAGTTTGGGAAAATGGAGCGCTTCAGCCAGGTGATCCAAGTGGCTCGTTGGGATCTGGAGGAGGAACAACACTGGGATGTTCTGAGGGATCGGCTAGATCACCTGGATCGCTTGGAGAAGGTGAACCGGGAAGTAAAACTGGCCTACATCGCCAAACTCCACGAGGAGGGATTTGATCTTGGAGATCTGGAGGAGCAGGATCTCTCAGATGTCATGGATGAAATGGGAAACATCGACATTCCCTGGAAGTTGTATAAAAGTGGCCGAGGAGCGATGGGAGACTCTCAGGAGTTTTCAGATGCAGGGGTTGACCTCACTGCTCCATCAGACTGTGAGGATCCTCTCGTTCCTGATTCCCTCACCCCTTCTCCTGTCGAGCTGCCACCGAGACCCCCCAAACCTCCAGCGCGTCATGCCAGCGTGAGCTCTGACCTCCACACCTACATCAATATCAGTAGGGAGACCACGTCCATGGCTGTGTCCACCTCTCCTACATTGTCTACTTTCTCCCCTAACTCCTCATCCCCCACTTTCACAACTTTTAGGTGTGAGAAACCCCTACCTCCATCTCCTCCCTCCATCCCTCCTCTTCCCACCTCTAAACTGGTCCCTTACCTCACCCTGTATACCACCCCATCTCCACCTCCATCTATCCCCACCCCAACTCCTCCCATCCCTCCCCCTCGGAAGCGTCACCTTGCCAGGAAAGAGGCACAGCGGCTCGCTGCTCTCCAAACCGAACAGGAAAAGACCCCCCTTTCCCTTCCTCCTCCCACCACACGTCCCCCACCTCTGCCTCCTCCACCAGTTATCTCAATCTCCTCCTCATCTCCCCCTGCAATACCAACTCCACCTGCCCTGCCTCCTCCCCCCTCCTTCCATGCACTGGATGTAGAGATTCGGAAGCTATTAGTGCTTGCTGGATTGACCCAAGCTGAGCTCCTCAAACTCAGCCCAGAACTTGGTGTTTGTGTTGGAGGGTTTGAGGAGGATGAGGTTGATGGAGATCACGTTATCTCGCTCAGGTCTGGGGAGCTACATGAGTTCAGACTAAAAGATCAGAATGAGATGAAGGACTGTGACACAGAGTTGATGGCCAGAGACAGATGGAGAAGCAGAGGCAAGATGGATGGAGATCGAAGAGCGGATATAGCTGAAGATGGCAAAACAAATGAGGAGAGCACACAAAGAACCACCTCGTTCACTGATATGGCAAGGAGAAGGAAGAGAAGCAGTGGTCTGACCTCTGACCCTTACTACAGCACTGGTTTTAGCAATACACAGGAAACCAAAACAAAGAATATTGGCTTTGAGTCTTTCCGGTATCCTGCCGAGGTGCTAGATTCACCTCCTCCTCCTCCTCCTCCTCGCCCCTTACCCCCAATCCCACCATCTGTGCCACACCACAAAATCAGCACTCTCAAGGCTAACTCTGCACAGCCTGAGCGATTTGATTGGCTCATAGCATTCACACCTGACCCTGAAGCCCTACTACAGCATCCAACCCTGGCAGTGAGAAAATCTCTTGTGGAAAATCAAAAGAAGCTCAGTTCTTCAGGGTCATCTCCAGGGTTAGCGCCAAAAGTCACGACTTTTAAAGAGCTGCGTTACCGCAACAAGAGCACCTTCCTCCAAACAAAGGTGATCACTGATCCAGACCCTGACCCAACAGTTATTACTCCAGATGCAGATATACTGTACAACCTGAGGTGGAGAAGAGAGATGGCAGGCGGCGACGGCAACCAATGGGAGTACACTTCTCAGGCTCAGGCCTTTTTTATGCAGCCGCCACCGGCCCTCACCTCAATGGCCGCTCTGAAGGAAATGCTCCAGAGAGCTGACGAGGAGGGTAGACAACCGGAGCTGTGCCCATCACAGAAGATTGGCTGCTCAGTCAGCGACAGCAGCCTGTGGACCATGGGCAGAGAGTGGGAGGGTGAAGAAGTTAAGAGGGATGAAAATGAAAGGAAAGAAGAAGAGGAGGTGGAGGTGGAGAAGGTGGAGGTGGAGGTGAGAGGACGAGCCGATGGCGGAAGGACTTTAGAAACAAGAACTACAGGTGAGTGGGAATTAGCATGATGGTGCAAATGATAATAAAGGAGTCAGATTAATTTAATGACATGGGGGAAGGGATCAGCGTGTGCATGCAGTTTTGTGTGTGCATGGGAGAAAATAAACACATCAAAGTAACTCAGTGTAATTTAAACAACAGAGCAGATCTGGGATGGGCGGATGATGGACAAAGAGATGCACAAATAACATCCTCGGACAGTGGAATAGAAAGAGACAGAAAACCAAGGGTTGACTCATTTATGGAAATGATAAAAGGAACGACAGTGAAGAGATGGAGGACGAGCATGAGTCGCAGAAATGCGTGATACGTGATATGATGACAAGGGATTGACAGAAGGTGGTTGCAGATGAGGGAAGCTAACAAGACAGTGGAAGCTGCAGAGGGAACATGAGCAATATAGAGATGGAGGGATAAAGTGAGGGGAGTGAAGGTAATATGAGGAGAAAGAGAAGGTTGGAAACTTTCCAGCCAGTTTTCCTGCACTGGTTATTAAAGTGTGATGTCATCATGGCCTTATTCAATTATTCATCCACTCTTTAGACCCACGGGGAGGGGGATAATGGAATGCCCACTGAGCTCACCACCTTTCTCCTCAGTCTTTCTACCTTCAACTTCTCGTTTCTTTCTATCTGTGTGTCCTAAAAAAATGTCTTCCTCTTTCTCTGCCTCTTTACTGGTTTTAAATAACATCTACTTGGGATGTTCAAATGCTTTTCTCTTTCTGTCTATCCTGTCTCTCTGCTTCCCCCACGTTTACTCCCTAGAGTTGCACAAGATCAAGTTACTTATCTCTTTCAGTGCTGCAGTTTGCTACATAAACCCTAAGGATTAGATTGTCAGTAGGGTGTATGCTTGATTTAAATTGCTCATATTCTCCACCAATCAGCTGCTAAAATTAGTTCTCTTCTTGTATAATTACTTGGGCATTATTTAACCTTTGCTTTCTGATTATAAAAGTCGCTGAATTACTAATGATTTATACGCTGCAGGAGTTTCCCTCAGAAACCCCTGCAACAAGCCAGAAATAGGTGTGTACACCTTTAAGAGACCAGGGGGTGGATCCAAGTATATGGGCCAATTGCTGAAAGCTGGTGTCAGAAAAATAGGAAGTATCATGTGTTTGTTACAGTTCAGAGACAGCTCAAGTCTGACCAAGGTATGGTTGCTTTCCAGCTCATTTTGTAGCCCATAGCCGAGCAGTCTGTCACAGGTAATTGAGGAACGAAAATTATTGTAGCCACAATCTCTTAATCTCAACAGAGACAGGCATGGTGATTGTGCAGGAACGGACAGAAGTCTGCTATCTGTTGACTGACTCAGCATACTGCTGGAGAGGGAGGGGGGGGGGGGGGGGGGGGGGGGGGA